TATGTTTCTTGAACAACAAATCAGCATATTAGAATGATTTCTGAAGGATCATGTGACACTGAAGACTGTAATGATGCTGAAAATACAGCTTTGATCACAGGAATAAATAAAATGTTAACCTATATTAAAATAAAGAATAGTTATTTGAAATTGTAATAATATTTTACTATCACTGTTTTACTGTATTTTTATCAAATAAATGCAGCATTGGTGAGCAGTAGAGACTTGGTGCAAAAATATAATATATAATTTTTTGTGTCAAGTATAATTTACTAAGATGATTTTCATACCCATGTATCCCACTAAAGTCGTTATTTTGGTTTTCTTTGCGCTTTCTTGGGCTATTTTAACGATGTTCTTACTACGTTTCTGGTCCTTGAACATGATAGTTCTATTGCTGTCTATGGGAGGGTCAGAAAACTCTCGGATTTCATCAAAAATATCTTAATTTGCTTTCCAAAGATGAACGAAGGTCTTAAGGGTTTGGAACGACATGAGGCGGAGTAATTAATGACAGAATTTTCATTTTTGGGTGAACTATCCCTTTAACTATGAAAGCCTGTTTATTATTATTTCCATGCCATGGAATAAAAAAATAAAAAAGGTAATTGCCACTTTTTTATTTCATAATTCAGAGTTTTTTTCTTCTGAAAAAAAAATCTGAATTTATATCTTACAATATTTTTTATATCTTATGTTTTTCTTGCAATTTAGAATTTTGAGAAATTGACTTACCATTGCAAAAAAAAAAAGCAGGATTGTGAGATAAAAAGCAATTACCTTTTTACCTTTTTTTTTTTTTTTGTGATGAGTTAAAAAGGCAGTTATCTTTTTTATTTTTTATTCCCTGTTGGAAACAGGTCCATACTTAACAATGTCAGCAACATTTGGCAAAGACCCTTCAGTATTTAAGCACAGAAACTCACACTTGATCTCATGCAACAACATTTGCTTTTGACTTTAAGGTAATTGTATAAGTCGGATCAGAATTTTATGCAACAGGTTAATAATGTCAAACGCAACAAACGTTCAAACTGACATGCCCTGAAGTGCTTTCATTTCCTCATTTATGATAATGAAACTAATTTTAGAGAAGTGTTTCCTGGTTGATGCCAAAAATAGAAAGTTTAGGGAAATTGTAGATCCTGAAGGGAATGTTACAAAGCTTGAATGGGCAGTTAACGTCTTTTGTTTTTATGGGGAAGTTTACATACCATTATCATCCAGCAGAATGTTTTCTGGCTTTAAATCCCTGATAGAAACGAAACAAAACATGTAACTATGAGACAGGCTCAATCTGTTTGGTTCTTCCTCACAGGTAGATTTCTGGAAACTATGTCAACTGCGTCCAGCGCATTAAAAGTCACGCGACAGCTCTCAGTTTTATGACCTACCTATAAACAATAGACTTTTTATGAAGATGGCTCAAGCCGCACAGGATCTCAGCAGCATAAAACTCTACTCTTTCTTTGTTGAGCCCCTCGGTGCCCATGTTATAGATGTGAAACCTTAGGTCTCCTCCGTTCATCAGTGTCAGCACCAGGCAAAGATCCTCTTTCGTCTCGTAAGCGTATGCTAAACTGACCTGACACATTCAGATAAACACACAGACAGCAAAGTCACAAAAAACTGCTCATATTTCAGTACAAAGTCAAAAAGGAGAACAAGAAACTTTTGCGTATATATATATATATGTGTGTGTGTGTGTGTATGTATATATATATATATATATACACACACATACACACCACACACACACATTTATAGCCTTCATTCTTAATTACAGCTATATGTATATATTCTATATTTTTATATGTCTACATTCTTTTAGGTCTATATTTTTCATACATACACTGTGTAAGTTACAATAAAAATTCTATAAAAATAACTTACATATAAATATAAACACAATAACTTACATATACATATAAAAACTATATAAAATAGCTGTATGTATACAAACAATTTATTATCATACAGTAGGTGTTAAAGAATTTTATAGTAACTTCTGTATATATGTTTTAAATATATTTATAAGATCTTCTTTCTCTCTTTGATTTCGGAGTGAAATCTGACCTGAACCTGTTTTGTGAGATTCAGCGAAGCAGAAAAAGTCATTTAAGCATAAACATTTACGTCAAAAACCTGAGACTTGCTTACTGATAATAATCATAAATCTCACCACAAATCTGCTGTTGACCCGTTCTAGAATCTGTTTCTCGTTGAGGGCCATGGCTTCTCCTCTCTGCTTCTTAATGCGCTTCTTCTCCAGTTTCTTACACGCGTACATTTTCCCTGATGCTCGGGATTGATACGCACACACCTGAAACCAGAGGCGTCACGTTACGCTTTTCTCTTTATTTCTATTAGAAGCTACTGTGGGTATGATTATCTTCTCCACTATAAAAGAATGGCTACCAGATTTGGTCTCACCTCTCCAAACCCACCCTTTCCCAAAACACGGTACTCTCGAAATATGTCTCGTGTGATCGGGCGTCTGCAGGGATGAAAGAGATAGTCTGTTCAAAACATTTCCTGAAGGAAACAGCATGTTTTATGACCTACCTATAAACAATAGACTTTTTATGAAGATGGCTCAAGCCGCACAGGATCTCAGCAGCATAAAACTCTACTCTTTCTTTGTTGAGCCCCTCGGTGCCCATGTTATAGATGTGAAACCTTAGGTCTCCTCCGTTCATCAGTGTCAGCACCAGGCAAAGATCCTCTTTCGTCTCGTAAGCGTATGCTAAACTGACCTGACACATTCAGACAAACACACAGACGGCAAAATCACACAAAACAGCTCCTAGTTCATTATGAAATCAAAAAGGAGAACAAGAATAACAAAAATAAAAGAATTAGAAAAATTTTGCTTACAGAAATGGGTTTTTACTACTACAAAAATATATATATTTTGATTTTTTTTTTACCTAATTCTCAAATTCTGTTTACTGTAATACACACACACACACACACACACACACACACACGTACATATGTGTGTAAATGTTAAATGTATGATAAATGTTAAATGAATATATTGAGGGCCATGGCTTCTCCTCTCTGCTTCTTAATGCGCTTCTTCTCCAGTTTCTTACACGCGTACATTTTCCCTGATGCTCGGGATTGATACGCACACACCTGAAACCAGAGGCGTCACGTTACGCTTTTCTCTTTATTTCTATTAGAAGCTACTGTGGGTATGATTATCTTCTCCACTATAAAAGAATGGCTACCAGATTTGGTCTCACCTCTCCAAACCCACCCTTTCCCAAAACACGGTACTCTCGAAATATGTCTCGTGTGATCGGGCGTCTGCAGGGATGAAAGAGATAGTCTGTTCAAAACATTTCCTGAAGGAAACAGCATTGCTTGTGATACTTTAATAAAGAATAGTTAATGATGAAAAATTAAAATTTGCTGAAAGTTTACTTAGGCCATCCAAGATGTACAGTAGATGAGTTTGTTTCTTCATCAGATTTGGAGAAATGTAGCATTGCATCAGTGTCTCAGCAATGGCTGCTCTGCAGTGAATGGGTGCCGTCAGAATGAGAGTCTAAACAGCTGATAAAAACATCACAATAATCCACAAGTAATCCACACCACTCCAGTCCATCAGTTAATGTCTTGAGAAGCCAAAAGCTGCCTGTCTGTAAGAAACAAATCCATCATTAAGATGTTTTTAACTTCAACTGTTGCTTCTGGCTAAAATATGAGTCCATAATCCATAATAATGCTTCCTGCAGTGAAAAACCCCATCTCTGTCACGTACGCTACTGTGAGGGAGCGAGGAACGAGGAGACGTGGAGTAGACTTCAAACAAAGATACTTTAACATCCAATGGAACTAGGAACACACACGTAGCGGGAAAAGATGAACATTCAATACCGGACGAAGAACTCAGAACAGGAAACACTTTAAATACACATGACATGACGAGGAGATGACGAGGAACACCTGAAATCAATAAACATAATCAAACATGAGGGGAAACTGGGTCATGGAGCACGTTGGGGAGGAGAACACGAGACTCAGGACTGACAATCTCCTGTTGTCTTTCACATTAAAATCCTCCCACATATTTGTTCAGAGCTGTTTTGGCTTGTAAACGGTGCTTGATCTGTGCAGACTTCTCTCCTGATTCAGACAAGATGACTTTTTCACTGGTTAAAGCATTATTATGGATTATAGACTCATATTTTAGCCAGAAGCAAGCGTCTTGATGGATTTGTTTCTTACAGACATGCATCTTTTGGCTTCTCAAGACATTAATTGATGGACTGGAGTGGTGTGGATTACTTGTGGATTATTGTGATGTTTTTATCAGCTGTTTGGACTCTCATTCTGACGGCACCCATTCACTGCAGAGCATCCATTGCTGAGCAAGTGATGCAATGCTACATTTCTCCAAATCTGATGAAGAAACAAACTCATCTATATCTTAGATGGTCAGAGGGTGAGCACATTTTCAGCAAATGTTCATTTTTGGGTGAACTATTCCTTTAAAACGATTCACACTAACCTCTCCACCATCTTCCACTGCAGGAATCGGTCAAAGTACATGCTTTTCTGGTACTCTGCAAATGGAGCTCCACTCAGATACTCGTGAAGTGCCCTGCAAGACCCAAATGCATGTCACATCAGTGCTCACAGACACACATGTACAGATGCAATGATAACCAAACTTGAGGAACTGACTTTTGGCAGCTGCTGAATATATTTTCACTGCACTTCTCAAGTTCCCAGTCTACAATCGCACGCACCCTAGAGAACTAAAAACACACACATAAGCGTGAAAACACCTTCCTTCAGGTGAAACAGTCATCTAGCCCCTTTACTTGTAGTTTAGACAAGTTAGTGACATTTTCTGCAATAACTGCAATATTGAGTTTTGATTATCAGATTGGAAATGAGGCGAAAAGAATAAATGAATGTTTAAAAACCTGTGAGGTGAGATATTTGTTGATGAGTTCTTTTCCAAAGTTCTTTCTCTTGTCATCCGGTGTGACCTCATATTCCGCCTGAAAGAGTAAAAACATTTATTCACTAATATGAACAAATTGCATTTCACAAAATGTAAAATAGATAATCCAGGTCATGTAAACATTCATATACACTGAAATCAATCTGATGTATGATTCTTTTTCACTCAGAAATTGCAAGTAAATTTCACAAATAATTACAAATAAATGGCAAGCAGAATGTTGTTTCAAATGTGTAACAGATGTACTGAGTAATATTAATTAACTTCATGTACTTACTATATGGTTAGGGTTAGAATTAGGGTTTGGCTTAGGGTTATTTGCATGTAATTATGCATAATAGTTATTATAGTAATTACATGTAACGTCATTTCATTTTACATGACTTTCATTCAGGCACAAACAAAAGACTCTATAGTTACGTTTAAGGGTTTTAACACGAAGTTCACTTTTCAAAGAACCAACTAACACTAAGTTACAATGCAAATATGTATGTTTTACATTTTTCACTTTAAACTCTCAAGCTTCTCTTTTGGTATAATATTGGTGAAATGCAGTCCACAAAAATGTTAGAAATGACACGAATGTGCATGTTTGCATGCTTGCAGAGATGGAGTTCATGAGCAGCGCGAGCCGCTCTGAAAACATCATATTATAAGTCGCACGCGTGTAAATGAACACAGTGCCACTCTTCACTCTGAAACATGCAGTACACCTGACTATGTAGTGATTTGATGGAATATATCGCTATTTCAGGTCTATTTTGTTGAATTGTGCAGCTCCGATTGTTTATTTTAATGTTGCATGCGATTTATTGAATTATTAGCTTCACATCAATTCACAAAGTCCATTTCAGAAGCCTGGTATTAGACAGAAGATCATACCGTTTCATCCAACAGGTTGATGCAGTGCTGCAGATCAGATTTAGTTGCACATAAAAGACGGAAGAGTTGTTTTCCGATGGGCTGTTTGACACACAGACTGTAATAATCTCGCTCTGAAGGACAGAAAATAACACAGTGCATTCATGCAATTAATCGCAAATATATTATTGCAGCTTAAAAACAACAATCAGGACATTAACATGACTAATTTGTAGTACTGATAATTTGATGTTTTCCCAAAGTTATGGTGTATATGTGACCCTGGAGCACAAAAGCAGTCTTAAGTCGCTGGGGTATATTTGTAGCAATAGCCAACAATACATTGTATGGGTCAAAATTACACATTTTTATTTTATGCCAAAAATCAGGATATTAAGTAAAGATCATGTTCCATGAAGATATTTTGGAAATTTCCTACTATAAATATATATTTAAAAAAAACTTAATTTATGTAGTAAATATGCATTGCTAAGAAGTTCATTTGGACAACTTTAAAGTCGATTTTCTCAGTATTTAGATTTTTTGCTCCCTCAGATTCCAGATTTTCAAATAGTTGTATCTCAGCCAAATATTGTGCTATCCTAACAAACCATACATCAATGGAAAGCTTATTTATTAATCTTATTTAACTTATCTGGTTTTGTGGTCCAGGGTCACATATGCTCACCACAGGATCTGTGGCACTGTATATAAACTCCACTGCAAAGAATTAAAACGCTGTAAAAACTAAACTTGAACTTCTTCTCACCGATGCTTTTCTCCAGCTCTGTGCACTCGTTTATGTGCGGGAAACGCAGAAATTCCTTCCATTTTCGACTCCTTCCTTTGCGGTTCCCACCGTTGCCTACTGTACAATAGAAGAAAGAGAGAAACAAAAAAGACTTTCCCAGCTGAATATAATATGAGAGCCTGCAAAGAACTTCTGATTCTAGTGCTTTAAGGAATCAAATTCAGAATGATTTGTCCATTATGTGTCATCATGAAATAACACAGCAATTGTGTTTCCATGAAATATTACAAATTAAATAGGTACATTTAATGATTGATTTTATTGATTTTATTTATTCATCCATAAATGTGCTTTTCATTATAGGATTATTATACTTAACTAAAACAAAAAACATTATTGAGAATAAAATAAACATTAACTAAAATAAAATAAATGTACAATAAATACTATTATGATGTAAACATATGTGAGTGCATGTAAAAAAAAATTAAATAAAACTTGAAATAAATTACTAAATTAACTATAAATAAATAAACATGAGAGAAACACACAACAAAAATACTCAAATTAAAATATAAAAATAAATGATTTATTTGTGAATTAATTTTTTAATGTAATAATCTCTTTTAGGATACTTAACTGTGCATCCTTCAAAATTTTCAGAAATACCAAAATGACACCTCCCTAAAAATAGATTCATGAATAATAGTACTTCAGATGGTGACTTTTGGTGTTTTGGACCTGCAATACACTTATAGTCACTATAGAAATGTTTGTTTTGGAAACATAGATGCTTTATTAATCACACGTGTGTGTGTGTGTGTGTGTACTGGTTTATATATCCTGGTGGGGACTTAAACCTGACTACACACAGACTCATGGGGACTCGTGTCACGGTGGGGACCTAAATTGTGGTCCCCACGGGTACAAAAGCTTATAAATCATACAGAATGAAGTTTTTTGAAAATCTAAAAATGCAGAAAGTTTCCTGTGAGGGGTAGGTTTAGGTGTAGGGTTGGTGTAGGGCAATAGAATATACGGTCTGTACAGTAGAAAAACCATTACGCCTATGGAGAGTCCCCACAAGGATAGCTGACCAGACATGTGTGTGTGTGTGTGTGTGTTTTGTTTGAATGGTGTAGGGCAATAGAATATACGGTCTGTACAGTAGAAAAACCATTACGCCTATGGAGAGTCCCCACAAGGATAGCTGACCAGACTGTGTGTGTGTGTGTGTGTGTGTGTGTGTGTGTGTGTGTGTTTTGTTTGAATTACGGTTTGTTGACAGCAAAACTGAAAAGAATCCACGGCATCCTGTACTATATGAGCCTGTGCTAAAAATAGCAGTGGGAATGAATCTGTAGGAACTGTAGATATCAGATATGAGAGTACACACCTTACGGACTACTTCACCCAGACAATACTCTTCACCACACAGAAAACTACAGCTTTATTATGAGAGAAAGTGTTATCGAATGACTTGTACCTGTTCACTCGAGCAGTTAGTGCTGAAGAACTGTTTGTAAAGTTGACAAGACAGGTTTTGCATATTTGGAAACAGCAACTGAATCTATTTTTAGCGCTCAGATTAGTTGCTGACAGGCCTTTAACCGCAGCGAAAGAAGTCAGACCTGTTTGTGATGCAAGGCACGTATGACGGCAAAGGCATTGTGCGTATGGTTTTGTTTGAGGTCAGAGTATTTCAGGTTAGAGGTGCAGGATAAACGGAAATATGTTGAATGTGCTGTTTCTTTTACTCCGAGGAACAGGGAACTAAACCGAACACTAAAAAACATCACAGTTTTTGGTTTTGCCCAGTGTTTTGAAGTGTCCGAATGAGACATTAAGCATAAAACATGCTTATGTCGACACATAATGAAAACAAAAAGATTTTAGGTTAGAGTTCATACGAATGTAAGGGGAAAGTATATCTTATAGGTCCTGCACACTGTGAAAATGATTTGTGTGAAGTAAAACAAAGATTATTAGAGTATGATTTCAAAGAAAATACTATTTTCTACTTCAAAATGTCATAATTCAGTGTGTTACTTTTAATTTCTTTGTAATTAAAAGTAAAATTTACTTGCAATCTTTGAGTGAAAACTGTTTCTGCATCAAAATGTTTTATTATTTTGATCACAATCTTGTCTTCACTAGTTCATATTTAAAGAACTGCAGTGTTAAAAGCACTTATAGTCTCATAAAAGCATAGTAATTGTAAAATAATCAGCAGATTAGTGTTTGAAATTGTTTGAAATGTTACACCGCAGGACATGTCGACTACCCAAAAGTATTTTGGCTACACATAAAATCTTATTTTGATTTTGATTGAAATTTGAATGAATTTCCCCTTCACTGTAAACAATGATTTTTCAAAGATGTAAGTAAAACAAAGAGTGTCAGCGTACATTTGACAAGAAAATACTATTTCAGTCTCTCTACTTCGAAATCTCATCTTTAATTCAATGCTGTTTATTTGTAATTAATTGTAAAATTAACTCATTTTTTGAGTGTACACAAACAAATTTGGTGTAGAAACCATTTTAATTTAGAAATTGTACATTTCACAAACAATTACAAATAAATGGCAAGCAAAAAACACTGAATTAAACATGAAATCTTAAAGTAAAAAACTGAAATAGTATTTTTAATATTTAAAAATATTTTTACCGCTTACAATCTGTTAAAACACATTTAAAAATGTTTTAGCACAGCACATTTTTTATACTGATTTAATGTACATTGTTCCTAAAAAATCCATCTCTTGATCAAATGTAGAAAAAACATGCAGGCAAATAAATATTCTTACCTTCTCGTGCTTTTATGAGAGCACAGTTTGCCACCATTGACTCAATCTCCATCTCTGCAGCTGATGAAAGTCAACCAAGTTGGGATTTCTGCATTTACAACTGATTTTTTTCCTAAAGCGCACTGAATTATTGCATATTTAGACCGGCAATTATTCATGCACTCATTTCTAAAGATAACCTAACCTCCCCTGTGTGCTTTAATAATGTGCATGCTGCCAGACCGAAGCCTTCAGTGACAAATGAGAACTCAACTTTCTTGTTCTGCTTTCATCTGCTGCGTCGCCCAATCTTGTTTCACCTGTACAGGTGAAGACTCAGATGTGTCACCGGCAGAAAAAGTGACGTTACAGTTTCAGGGATTTAGTTTAACTGCAGGAGGAGATCTCATTTAAACTGGGTTGAAAAGACATGCTTGTGTTTACAAAGCCTTTTTATGATAAATGTAATCCAATAAACTGCATATTGTGGCATAACTTTCATAATTATGCATCATAAATTCTGAACAGAAACAAGACCATTCATATTACATCTGCAACATTTTCTTAAAAAAGTAAATGTATCACACTAGTTTCACTTCAACACTGTAAGTTTGGAAACTGTGTTTAACAAGTAACTGGCGCCACCATCTGCTCGATTATTGTTAAACAGATAGACGTAGGATGTAGAGTTACAAGAAAACCTGTATGCTTTAAATAATCTTATTTTCCTAAAGATTTTTGTTCTAAATAGACAATATTGATCGTTCATTTAAGTCAAATCAATGCACTTGCTGAAGATGATTCTGTCCATTTGCATAATCTTAATACGTTTTTTAAAAAAAAGTTATTTATCACATACAGTCATTTCACCCAGTATGTTTTCAAATAAATAATAAATGACAACTTAATATTTGTATTGTTAATACATCTTAATGAATTCTCAGGTAATTAAACCCATTGGAATACAGTATTTCGAGGTCAACCAGCTCGCTCCAAGCAGCCAATCCCGTGCCCTGCTCGCCGTGCGTTTCAGACGCGCCAGCCAATCAGAGCGAACCAGCTGGAATACGCTCACGGCATTGGTTCGCGACGTCAATCCGGGCTCCGTCGTAAAGCCAGTTTAGTAGCCGAAAGGTACCAAGATGGCGGAGGTAAGTTGGAAAACAGAGGGAAGACGTCATATTTTGGTCGTTAATTTCTCTTACCACAATACATGAGTTTGGGATTTCTATATCTGATTATATGTAATAATGTCTTATCTTTGGATAAAGGCTGGTTTTGTGGAGATACGAACGGGTTTGGCCGTCATAACGAGTGTTTGAAACGTCGATGGGGCCACTTTTAGCGTCGAGCGTTCCGATATTTGGCGTCAGATCTCACTGAGCGTCGAGCGCGCGGCGATGGTTAGTTAGTCGTGAGGCAGCTAGTTTATTTTATTTCATATTTTTACTTCTCTGTTATTCCCGTTTTTCGACTAAATACTTCTGTGTGGTTTCAGAGTGATTTTTTTTTCATTGCTGCAGTAAACGTTACCGGATTGATGCTGTGAAGTGACGACATCAACCATTTATTTTTTTTCTTCCTTTTTAAAAATAAAACATGTATTATTTTATAATTCCTCATAGCTGTATTTTGTTTCGGAGACTCTGAACCTCTGAATAAACACTAAATATTGCTTTGACTTGTTAGTCACCTTCATAAACTGCTTCTGTTGTACATTCTGTGTATCATTTCCAAATATAAATTATGTTAATAAAACATACAAATTGTGAGTCACTTCTTTTATTTTTTTAATGTTTTTTGTGCATTTAAATATTTTTATAGTCTGAAATATTTTTTAATGTCATTAGACTGTCATGGGTGCGAAGCATATTATTAATAATATTAATATATAAGTTACGATTCATACTCTTGTTACTTACAAATAATTTCTATGGTAGCAGTACTTTAAAGTGAGCTTTACTACAGTAAAACTGGTGATAATATTAGCTGCCACTCTCATCAAAACAAAAAAAAACTTTACAAAATGACTAAGACTTTGAAAACTTATTAAACATTTTGAAATGCATCCCATAGTTTTGCAACCATAACAATATTTATAGTACCTGTGGAAATTTGGAAACTATGGTTACTACAGTAACCTTTTGGTAAGGGAAGTTAACCACTATTCTTCATTATACTGTAAATTCCCTAAACGTCTCATGAATTTTTTTACTTTTGCAATTTCAGGCTTCCTTGGGAAGTACAAGCCCAGGTAAATTTTCCTCTGAATTTATTTGATAATGTCTATTTGGTAATGAAAAAAAAAAAAATTGATGAGCAGAAGAGACTTATTTTAAAAAACATTACAAGTCTTACTGATCCCAAACTTTTGACCGGTAGTGTATGTATATATATATAAATTACATTTGCGTGTATATACGCCGACCATATATATATATATTTTGAATGTAATGTGAATAATATATAATTGAATACTACATTAATTACAGTATCTCACAGAAGTGAGTACACCCCTCACATTTTTGTAAATATTTTATTATAT